CCTTGCTCTCTAAAAAAATAATTAAATCTTAAAAAAAAAAAAAAAGAATAATTTGTGGACATTGGATGTGTCTTCCCTTTGAAATCTTCAATAACATTTAACATTTTCTGCTTGTCTTATATCCCACCACCCAATATATTTAGCACCTGTATTTGTTTTCTGGTAAAAGTGTAACATATACTCTTAAAAGTCCTAAGTGAAGATAATTCTCCATCATTTCTGAAAACCTACTTATAAAAGCAATATTCATATGCTTATAAATGTCTTTCTTCTCTGATCCACGAGTTAAAATAACTGGTTCCTAAACCAGCAGGCAGACTTTTGGGGATGCTACAGTCTCTGATTATCCTCAGATTATGTTCCCCATCTCATTCCTACACTTATCATAAACTGGTGACCAATTTCCACTCTATGGGTTGAGTGGAAAGATTAGTTTAACTTGTCAGTTATCTATTGGGTAACAGTATTATTTTTGGTGTCAAATAAATGTAAATCCAGAAAATTATGATCCAGTAAAAAGCCCTGTAATTTTAAAACATTAATCAAAAAATTCACATAAGACTGTGTTGAGAGGGCTGCTTAATATCATTCCTCTTCATCTCTTAAAGAAGTATACAAGTTAAAAGGCAGATAAAAATCAGAGAAGAAAGTGGGTATTGTTTTAGGAATGGGGCCAAAGTGGGAGATGAGGACAGGACAGTGTTGGTGAGGATACCAATATTATAAATCTTCCCACTGAAATAACAACAATAAAATACTCATTTAGATATTTTTCAATCAATCTATCTGCCAAACTCATTCAGTCCACAAAATTATGTGAAGACCCATGTTCCCTACTTAGGAGTCAAAGGAACTAATTGTTGTGAGGTAGACTGTTGATATCTAATTTTCTCTGAACTGCTAAACTATTAGAACCTTTACATTCAGCTAGTCTATTAATGAAGACTGAAAAAATAAATTTATAAGAACTCTGATATACATCATCACATTCAAGATCCATAGAGGCACAGCTGATCCGGCTAATTTACCAAAAAGAAATCGGAGGTTAAACAAGGGTTTTCCAACCATGCTGTAGTGTCCACATTCTATATCTAAGTGTTTTCCTGAAGTTAGTGAGGGGCTTCTTATGAAGTATGAGAGACTGAAGGCAGCAAAGCAGAGAATACAAAATTTTTCATAAATACTGAGAACAGGAGAATATTTCAAAATCAAGCTATGACCTGCACAACTTAAGGCTGATTAGTATTAAGTGTAATTCCTGGAGAGTAAGAGACCTTTCTCCTCTATAACTTGCCAGGGTATTTTGTGCAGATAGCTGTGCCCACTGAGAGCACATTAAAAATGATTTTACTATTAGGACAGTGGTCCTGGGTCTTAAGAGATTCTTAAATCCTACTAGATATTGGGCACTGTTCTAGGGAACAACAACAACAAAAAAGAAAACAAAACATTCCACTTATTAAGGAATGCACAGTTGGGAAAGGGGAAAGATGGAGAATGAAGTGAAGCGGGCTGGGCAGACCACTGTGGCAGTCCTGTCATCCCTGAACCCTAAAGTTTCTTTTTTATCTCTAGAAATTCTGGATGATTCTGGTATTTGCTCTTCATTTGTCTGCTTGGTCAGAAAAAGAAATCCATGATTACAAACCCCTCTTCTGAAAATTCACTTTAATGTTCAGATTTAGCAAAAAATTTTGATCTCAGTTTTGAAAATGGTATTGCCTTTGCCATTCTTTCAACAATATGCCTACCATGTGCCATCCACTGCTGCCACACTCAGCACCAGTGATCTGACTGAACAAAATCAGAATTCACGCTGTCACGGAACTGCATTCTGGAGGCAGGTATCTTCCCTGAATAAATAACATCATATATCATGCTCAGTATCATGAAATAACAGAGTATTGCAACAGAAAATGATGGCATGGCAGAGGGGAGATGGAAGTGGGAATATATTTTACTGAAGGTCAGGGAAGGCCTTGCTGATTAAGTTACATTTAAGGTTAGAGTTGAAAGACAAAGCGGCAATCGGAAGGGAAAGTGTTTAGGCACAAGGAACAGCAAGGGAAAAAGCCCAGTGGTGGAAAAGTTTTGTATGTTTGAGGATCTGATAGAAGGTTTGTGACTACAGAGAAGTATGAGGGAACATGGCATGAGTTTATTTTCTGAGTACTTAATATATGCTAGACATCATGCTAAGTACTTTAATGCACACTCTTACATCATCATTACCAAACCTATGAAGTTAGATTTTCCCTCCCCATTTTCAAAAGGACCTAAACAAGCATAGGAGAGATTAAGAAATTTGTTCAAAATCACATAGCAAGTGGTGGAATGTGGATTCAATTCAATGCAACATGAATCCAAACTTATAGCCAAAGTTAGAAGATAAGCAAAAGACAAATCAAATAAAACTTTATATGCCACAGTAAGGAGCTTGAATTTTATTCTAAGTGCAGTGGAAAGCCACCAAGAAATTTAAACAAAACTGTGACATTATCTGATTTACATTTCTGTGGCTGCTGTGTGGAGGAGTTATATGGGTAAATGAAATGAAACCAATAAGTCGTCAGGAAAGAAATGATATTTGTCTGGACTAGAAGCAAACCAATCCAAGACCTATTTTGGAGCAAATCAAATTAGCCTTGCCAATGACTTAAAGACATGGAATAAGAAAAAAGGGAAAGTCTAGAATAACTCCCAGGTTTCTGGCTTTAGTAACAAATAGATGACGATGAATAATCATGAAACGGCTTAGGATCAGACTAAGTTTAGGAAAAAGGGGTAGTGTCATTCAATCATTCAATAAATCTTTACTAATTCTATATGTGAAGATACAAAAGAGTACAAAACTGATAAAGTTCTGTCTTCCTACAGCTTCCACCACTGGAGTTGGGGGCGGGGGCAGTTGGACAAACTGACAAGTAAATCATAAGCGAGTGCTAAGTGCTATGGAAGACAACAAAGCAGGTGGGAAAGGAGGTTACGATTTTAATTAAATGGTTAGAGAGAGCTTCTCTAACATATGAGCAGAGGTCTGAAGGATACAAAGGAAGCAGCCCTGAAGATTTCTGGGAGAAAAGAGCTCTCAGCAGTCTGAGTAAGACTGCACTGGCCCTGAGGCAGGAGTGTTCTTCATATGTTTGAAGACTGGCAGGGAGGCCAGGGTGGTACAGCAGAGTAGGTAAGGGAAAAAAGAGATCAGAGGGGAACAGACAATATGGAACTTCTGTTAAGGATTTCACCTTTTTTTACTTTGGGTAAAACAAAAAACCCTTGCAAGATCACAGATTTGTAGAGTAGAGGAGTGGTGTTACTTCAGCTGCAAGATGGAAATTACACTATAAGGGAGCAAGGGTAGAAGCAGAAACTCAAGAAGCAATAATCCTCTCGTGGATCAGACCAGGAAATAGTGAAAGGGTCATATTTAGATAGGTTTTAAAGAGCAAACAGGATTTCTTGATGGAATTAGATATGGTGGTGTTAAGAGAGAAGTCAAGGAAGGCTAGGCAGGTTTTTTTGACCTGTATCAAAGAACAATGAAGTTACCATTTACTGGGTTGGGATGAGCATGGGAGGAAAAGATTCATCATGGAAAACCATGAGTTCAGTTTGCCATCTTAAAATGGAGATACTTATTACAAATTTAGAAATAGATGTTCAGTAGGCAGCTGCTTACTGGATCTCAAAGAGGTCTGCGTTGGAGATACAAGTCTGACAGGCATCTTTAACGCATGGCCATTATTTAAATCATGGCAGTGGATCTGGGAAAAAAGTAGAGATAGAGAACTGGAGCCAGAACCGAACCTTGATAAACTCCATCAGTTAGACACTGCCATCTCATGCCTGGTAGTCTTATAGTGAAACAATTGGTTTAATTTTTAAAGCTATCACTTATTACACCAGCAATTTCTAAAGCCATCAAGTGCATCAATGAGACACAGTAATGAACTAAAAAGATACCATACAAAACTCAAAAAGAGAAACTGCATTTATGATGAGAGAAATACTAGGAACTCAAAATGTTCCCAAATATAGAGATTGTACAATCCTGTGGTTAGGTACATGATATACGATATACTCAGGCTGTCTGGATTTTAATTCTGGTCCCTATGCTTATTATCTGTGCGACCAAGGCAAGGCACTTACTGTGCAGTGTCCTCAACAGTAAGTTGGAGATAAAAACCTACTAGGTTGTTGTAAATGAATACTTGAACTTTCGCTCTCAAAAAGTTACCTTACTGTCAATGACACTAAACAAAAGCTGAGATCCTGCAGTTAATCACACTAATTTTTCAATTACCTTAACCAGAGACCACTAGCTCTGTGTTTAGTTTCAAAACAAGGCCAAAACATGCTTTGATATTTAATTATCTTAACTAAGGGCTTATGCCTCTCAGTCTGGATTTTTAAATAAAGCCAAAACATCGCCAAATGCCTTAATATCCAAAGTGATTTTTGGAGGCATAGAGGGGGAAAGGGAACAACTAGCTAGTCCTATTTCACACATCAGAATAAACATGTCTCCTAACAAGGTCCAGCTGTGACACAGGGCACCATGGCCGAATCCTCCTCAATCAGTTATCTGATTCTCTCCTGGTCTCTCCTCTACAGAATGAACGTGCTTTCGAAGATAAAGAAAGGTTAAACCCAGTTTTTGAATGAAAGTCCAGCAAAATGCCGAGAATCTAACCCTATGACAGCAATAGGGGAAAACTCCTCCAGGGTCACCATCTATCCCTTACCTTTAGTACCCAGGAGCACCGTAGGTTCGGACTCCTCTCGCGGAGGTGTGTGTGGGGGTGTTAGTGGGGAAGCCGCAACCTTCCCTCTCTGGTCCCCACCCCGACCCCTGGGAGCAAAGCGGCTACCCTCACCATATTCCCTCTCCTCTCGCGGGGCTCCGGGCCCCGGACCCGAGCCCCAGGTTCTAACCTCCATTCTCGGAGCAGTAGGAGACACCCAGGGAAGAAACAATAGAGCCGTGGCGGCTGCCGTACCTCTCCCGGTCGCGGCCGTCAAAGTAAACGAAATCGCCGTTCTGGACGCACTTGGCGCAGGTCAGCCGCCGGCGGGTAGTGTTGCACAGCGGACACCGCTCGACAGCCACGTACAGCCCCTCGGCGTCGTCCACGGAGTCCACCAAGTCCCGAGCGAGCGGCCGGGGCCCGCAGCTAGGAGCCTCCGGCACCCGGGCTCCCTTCCCACTGGGAGACGCCATGATGGCCTGAGAGCAGAGCCAGTCACGTGGGATTTTGTTTTCAACCAGGTGCATCCTGGGCGAGGAGGAGGGGCCTGGGGAGGCGCCGAGAACGCGGGCGGGGTCCGACGAGCCCCTCGTCCAGCCTCTCCCAGCTCGCGGCCCGCACGGCGGGCCGCGCTGTTGCTCTTCCTGTCTGCGGAGGGGGAGGCCTGCGCGAAGCGTGAATTACGTTAGAGGGGCGAGTCGGACAAACAAAATGTCATCATCCGTTTCTTCACGCCAAGGCTACAAGTTAAAGCCTCAAACTTGTGCAAGAAATAGCAATACGGTGCCCTAGGGATTCTGGGGAAACGGGAACAAAATAAGGGAATTTCTTTAATTCGCTATGGGTGGTTTTAAATTTGCTGAAAGTACAGCGAAGTCGGGTGTGGGGGCTGGGTCGTGGAGAGAGGCTGTATTTGGGCTCACCCACCTCCTTTATAGGTTTGTGATTTGGGTCAAATTCGTAACGTCTCTGTACTTGCGTTCTTATCTGTTAAATGGAGATACAGCACCTACCCAAAGTCGGGAGGATGAATCATACGTTTAACAAGTGGAAACAATCGTGCTAAACGTGGAAATCTAAGTTCTCTTTCTGAAAACTGAATTTTAAATTAATGTCCAACATTCTACTCTGTGCCATGCTCTGAGAAAGAATTTGAACTAGGTAGAATTTAACTGAATTCGATTACTCCAAATTACTTTCTGTGGAGGTAAATAGGGTGTGTGGGAGGATTAAGGCAGAGTAATTCGTGTTTGAAAATGCCTCCAAACTACAGAAGGAAAAAAGAAAAGTGTGCCTATAAGTCAGCTTACCTAGACCAGTGACTCTCAAGGATTCTTTTGGTAGGCTGTCAAGTGATAACTGCCTTGAATTCTCTAGCTGCGACTTCTCCCCCAGGTACTACACCCAAAGATTCGCAGCTACCTCAGAGGCATAAAGCGATGGCAGGGGACCACTACAAACTTGGCAGGTCAGAAATTGAACTCTCCCTCCTCACAAATCGGTTTCCTCATCTTGATGCAAGACATAATAGAATCCCTGACCACTTGGGAACCAGAGCTATGAGTCCTCTTAGCCCCATCTCTCCCTGAGAACCAGCACATCTCCATCAAATTCTGAGGATTCCGCAATCTAATTAGGTCTTGCATCTGAACACTTTGCTCCATCCTCCCAATCTGGTCTATTGTAATACCATGACATAGAATTTTAAAGGCACAAGAAAGCAAGAAGTCCCTAAAGCTGTTTCAGCTTACGCTAAACCTGAATGGTTCCCCAAAGTTTCTTTTAAGCAAGAGGAATAATTTCCTCTGATCATTTCGAACAAAAGGATATTTAATTTGTCTTAAGGTTTCAGACTTTCACTTGTATTCTGACAGGATCCTTCACAGTGCCTGTATAGTGGCCAGGACCATCCCTCAATATTTTAAAAGGCAAAAAAATAGACACAGTTTCTATCCTGCCAGATGATGTTGCAGATATGATCTATTCTATGCAGTTATCTGAAACTTCTGTATATTCCTGTGTATTTTCAGAGAACACATTAACAGACTAAATCTTTCACAAGAGCAGAATATTAAATTTTAATGATTAAACATCATTAACATCATTCTAGCAAGGCCCTAAATCTCTCAAATTCTGAAGTGTTTACTTTTTCCGTTTTTAAAATAACATACACGTCATTTTTGAAAAAGAAGTTTCTTTAGTTCTTAGGCATGGATACTCCTATAGAATCATCCTTTAACAAATAAAGTCAAAATCTGTGTGGAAAATCTACAATCCAGTGGTTTGCGCTGGGCTTATGCACACACTCAAACCAGTATAATGTGAGATGCTGAGTGACTTACTTAGGCTTTTTTAAAGCCCTTTAGAATAGGATAGATGTTTTCAAATGCTTCATAGATCTCAGAACGTTCTTTGGCACCTATAAAGAAATCCAAGTTGATACAATCTTTAATATAAAGACAATACCCAAATTTTCTTAGGACTAAAATTTCATTGTCATCTCCAAGTACTTTTAATACGAAGACATCTCCTTAGGTTTACTTGGGAAGTGACATTTTGGTAAAGACAAAAGAATTTGCTGGTGAGAGCCATATCCCACAAACACATACCCTAGAGCAGAGTTTTCTAGTACTTCACTACATGGGCATATCAGTTCATGTTTTGCCTCACAGAGCATAGTATGAAATATGGGGATGTTATCACTCAGCATGCCATGAACAGGACCACAGAACATGACCTTCATCAGGATCTGTGGACACAGCTATCAGCAAACAGGACTTCCTTTGGTCCACTCAGGTCTAGTTAATATCTTGATTTCCTAATTAGTCAATATTGACTAACAGGGTGAGACAAACTACAGCAAATGTTTTACATTTCATTTAGTGAGAAGAGATTATTAGAGAAGAAAACCGTACCACTGTCACTCCTTAGTGACTTAAGTTTCAAGGGATCTTTCATTAGAACTGCTGTAGGGATTAAAATAGATAAAAACATGAATTAGACATGGTCCCTCCTCTTGAGAGGTGATCAGTCAGATGTTCATCTCTCCCCCACCACCTACTGCCACTACTTCCACCTTCAAGGCTACACAGGTACACTGTACGGAGAGGGGGTACCGGCTTATGGACCGGTAATACTGATGTTTAGATGGAGCTCTCAGCTAATCAGGAAACTACTGCCTGATACCACTGGCAGGAGGTTAAGGAAAAGAATATAAAAACAGCATGAAGAGAAACAGAAAATAGCTTAAGCTGATAAAGACTCTTCCTTGAGAGCCATAAAGCCAAGGCTTAGTTAAGAGAGAAATTGCCAGTGAGAAGGGGTTATCTGGTTTAATCACAAGACTAAGAGGAGGGGCGCCTGGGTGGCTCAGTCAGTTAAGCATTAAGCATTGTCTTCTGCTCAGGTCATGATCTCTAGGTCCTGGGAGAAGCCTGCATCCAGTTTCCTGCTCAGCAAGGCATCTGCTTCTCCCTCTCACCTTACGCATCTCCCACCACTCACGGTCTCTCTCTTTCTTTCTCAAATAAATAAATAAAATCTTAAAAAAAAAAAAAAAGATGAGAGGAAATCACCAACAGGAGGATCACCAGATTTGAGAATCAGGTGGAAATCCCAATTCAGAATCAAGGATGAGCTGTAATAATAATTAAAAAAATGGAAAATAAAAAAGTATTGGCAAAGATATGGAGAAATTAGAACTCTCGTACATTGGTGGTGGGAAGGTAAAATGATTCAGCCACTGTGGAAAACAGTTTGGCAGTTCCTCAAAAATGTTAAGAATTACCATATGACCCAGCCATTCTACTCCCGGGTATATACCTCCCAAATTGAAAACAGGTACTCAAACGACGTGCATGCAGACACGTATTCATGGCAGCACTATTCACAAGAGCCAAAAAGTGGAAATAACTCAAGTGCCCATCAACAGATGAACAGATAAACACATTGTGATGTATATATACAATGGAATATTACTTAGCCACAAAAGGAATGAAGAATGAGGTTGTTATACATGCTACAATGTGTGAACCTCAAAAACATTACACTAAGTGAAAGAAGCCAGACACGAGAGGTCACACATTGTAGGATTCCATTTATATGAAATATCCAGAATAGCTAATTCCAGAGACAGAATGCAAATTGGAGGTTGCCAAGGGCTAAGGAGAGGAAGGACGGGAGAGAAACTGCTTAATGATATGGAAATTTCTTCTGGAGTAATCCAAATGTTTTGGCACTAGCAAGAGGTGGTGGTTGCAGAAACTGAGTGTACTAAATGTCACTGAATTATTCACTTTAAAATGGTTAGGTTTATATTAAGTGCATTTCACCTCAAGTTTTTAAAAAAATGTTAAAGAATCAATAAGTCTTTGTAAGCTTAAATTTCTTTGAGAGGCTGGCGAAAAGTTACTTATTTGGGGCACCTGGGTGGCTCAGTGGGTTAAGCCTCTGCCATCAGCTCAGGTTGTGATCTCGGGGTCCTGGGATGGAGCCCCGCATTGGGCTCTCTGCTCGGTGGGGAGCCTGTTCCCTCCCCACTCCCCCCCCCTCCCCCCCCCCCCCCCCCCCCCCCCGCCTGCCTCTCTGCCTATTTGTGATGTCTGTCAAATAAATAAATAAAATCTTTTTAAAAAAAGTTACGTATTCATCACTGATGAGTTTACTATGTGTGAGTCTCTGCCCTCAAAGAAGATGCAGGTTCGGGGGAAAGGAGGAGGAAGAGGGTGCATTACTGACATGAGTAATAGAAACTCTGTAACTTGAGGGGTAGGAAAAGCCCCATAAGCCTCAGGTTTTTATTACAGGATGAATATTTTAATTTCTCAAGTGATCGTTTTTGTAGAAACCAGTGAGTTGGGAAAGCAGTAAGTGAAATACCGTAACAAAAAATCCTGCTTCTGGTTTGATGGACCTTTTCTGCTTCTAGGTACATTTGAATGTGACAGCTTTCTTATTAGGAGACAGTGAAGTGGAGTAGATCTAGCAAACACCCACCTACCCATTCAACCTCCAACCCCACCCACCAAAATCAGCATTCCTTTTATATTTAATTAAGAAACAGAGGGTCTAGGTCCAACATTCTAGCTAACTATGTACTTCAGTTTTTCATAACACTTAAATCATACTTAAGAGGATTTTGAAGTCCCTGTTTAGAATTCTGGCCTCTGCTAGAGAGCAGAAAATACCCATCGCCCAGGAGGAAACAGACACTGAGAATGATCATTATTTTATATCACAGAAAAACTTCTGTAGACACAAAAGGGCTTTATGGGAATTGACTAATCCAATTCCCTTCATTTCCTTCATGGGAAAACAAGGCCCACCAAGTTGAAGTTCCACTGAATCATGGATAGCAGCCATGGATGAAGACCTCAGTATCCAGTATTCCTTCTAAAAGTCAGCAAATACTATGTATATCGACCATTCTCTTACACCATACTCATGTTAAGACATGAGGCAGGAATCTATCAAAATCCTAGAGGAGAACATAGGCAGTAACTTCTTCAACATCAGCCACAGCAACTTCTTTCAAGACCTGTCTCCAAAGGCAAAGGAACAAAGGTGAAAATGAACTTTTGGGACTTCATCAAGGTCAAAAGTTTCTGCACAGCAAAGGAAACAGTCAACAAAGAGGCAACCCACAGAATGGAAGATATTTGCAAATGACACTACAGACAAAGGGCTGATATCCAAGATCTATAAAGAACTCTCAAACTCAACACCCAAAAAACAGATAATCATGTCAAAAAATGGTCAGAAGACATGAACAGACACTTCTCCAAAGAAGACATACAAATGGCTAACAGACACATGAAAAATGCTCATCATCATTAGCCATCAGGGAAATTCAAATCAAAACCACATTAAGATACCACCCTATACCAGTTAGAATGGCCAAAATTAGCAGGACAGGAAATAACAAGTGTTGGAGAAGATGTGGAGAAAGGGGAACCCTCTTACACTGTTGGTGGGAATGCAAGTTGGTGCAGCCACTTGGGAAAACAATGTGAAGATTCCTCCAAAAATTAAAAATAGAGCTACCCTATGACCCTGCAATTGCACTACTGGGTATTTACCACAAAGATACAGATGTAGTGGGAAAAAAAGGGGGGCCATATGTACCCCAATGTTCATAGAAGCAATGGCCACAATCGCCAAACTGTGAAAAGAGCCAAGATGCCCTTCAACAGACAAATGGATAAAGAAGATATGGTCCATATATTCAATAGAGTATTACTCAGCCATCAGAAAGGATGAATACCCGACTTTTGTATCAACATGGATGGGACTGGAGGAGATTATGCTGAGTGAAATAAGTCAAGCAGAGAGAGTCAATTATTATATGGTTTCACTTACTTGTGGAGCATAAGGAATAACATGGAGGACATTAAGAGAAGGAAAGGAAAAGTGAGTTGGGGGAACTCGGAGTGGGGGACAAAGCATGAGAGACTGTGGACTCTGAGAAACAAACGGAGGGTTTTGGAGGGGAACGGGGTGGGGGGTTGGGTGAGCCTGGTGGTGGGTATTAAGGAGGGCACGTATTGCATGGAGCACTGGGTGTGGTGCATAAACAATCTTGGAACACTGAAAAAAATAAAATTAAATTTAAAAAAAAAGTCAGCAAATAAACATGGCCCGCATTTATAACTGGGTATTACAATGAGGGGATTTGGTCCCTTTAGTCAAATACTTCCTCACCAAAAATAAGTATCACAACTTTATGGGAACCAACATTGGTCCTGTAGTCTTAATAATCTATAATCAAATATCTCAATCTGAAGCACCAGGCTCCAGGTAGAGGACTCTAGCTTTTAAGCAAACCTGACCAGTCTTTTCCTTTAGGTAATAATGAGCACCACTCTGGGGAATAAACACCATTCCTCACCATGGTGACAGAGGTGGAAACTCTGTGGCCAGTGCAATAAAGAAAGCTCTGAAATCACTCTGGATGGGCTTGAATACCAGCTCTACCATTAACTAGGTTTGAATATCACAGGCAAGTTGTTCAACTTCTGAGTTCCCATTTCCTTACCTGTAAAATAGCCTTCTCAGAGGGCTGCTATGAGTTTTATGAGTGAACATTTGTAAAAAGTCCTTTGTAAGCCATCCCATTTTACAAAATCTAAGCCATTTTTATTGTCCTAGAAGAACATGCTTCAGGATCAGGGATGTCGGGACAGCTGGCCCAAGCACACATGGTCTAATGTAAGAGCCAGTCTCACATAATCTGTGTCCTTCCCCAGGGCTGATTCCTGGCGGGGACTATGGGGACTGCAGGAGATTTGCTTTTCCATCCTCAGCACCTAAAAACAAGTATGGGTACCTGATAGGCACCCAAAGTTGATGAAATATCTGCCATCTGTCAAGAAGGTTTATAAGCTCATCCCTACCCCCTTAGCCAGCCCAAACATCAATTTCCAACACTGCTTGGATTTTCCAATTCTATTTTTATGCCAAGTCATAACTACGTACCTTATTTTCCCTAGGATACCATATGTGTATGCACACAAGGGAAAAAGCTTACAAATTGCAAGAGATGGCATTAAATCCTTCCAAGTATACATTTTACAGCGTATACTAACTTGCTTTTTGGGGGGACTCCCAGTAATGACTGGCAGGGGTATGCTCTCTCTGGCCTACTTGCTCACAAGAACTGCTGATGTCTAGCTGATGGATAGTCACCCGAAGTAACAAAGACCCAGCTTCTTAAGAATTATGCTGGGGGCGCCTGGGTGGCTCAGTGGGTTAAAGCCTTTGCCTTCGGCTCAGGTCATGATCCCAGTGTCCTGGGATCGAGCCCCGCATCAGGCTCCTTGCTCAGCAGGGAGCCTGCTTCTCTCTCTGCTTCTGCCTGCTGCTCTGCCTGCTTGTGTTCTCCCTCTCTCTCTCTCTCTCACCAATAAATAAATAAATAAAAATAAAAAAACAAAAAAAAAATCTTAAAAAAAAAAAGAATTATGCTGGAGGGAAAGAAAGAACTGTGAAGCATTTTAGATGCTAGACTAAAGCCTCTTTAGATGTCAGATTCCCATCATCAGGACAAAGCAGCACAGCAAGACTCCAGTCTTCCAATGCTAGGCAGAAAACAAGTGGGCTTTCACCAAGGGAGCACCAGCTAACGTTTATAACACATTCACCCTCCACTGGTACTGTTCTTTGGCCTGCTCACACAGAGCATGTAGTTTCTCTGGCCACCTGCCTTTTACAGGTGTGGAAATCAAGGTGAACTTAAACTCACCCAAGGCCACACAGCCAAGAAATGGTCAAGCCTGGATTCAAAGCAGATAGTTGGTTCCCAGAGCCCAGCCTCTTAGCCATCACACGTGCTACCTCTCACCACTAAGAGCATTTCTCTTTCCTTAAGCTGATGAGGAAGAGAAGGGAAAAGGTGCCCTCAAAGACCACAGAGGCGCCTGCACAGACACCTAAGGAGCTGGGGGACAGGGTGAGTACATGGAGGGTGGGGGCTCCGGAGCCAGGCTGCTGAAGTTCCCACCTGTGCCGTAGCACATACAGTTGTCTGACATTGTTAATGACTTCTCCACTGGCCCCATTTTCCAGGTGAGGAAACTGAGCTCCTCAGTGCAACCTCGTGGAATTAACTAGAACCCACATAAAAGCTCTTATCACAGTGCCTGGAACGGACACGCCCAATGTATGTTCACTTTATGGTGTCTGACCTTAGAAATGAAAGCTGACATATTTGCTGTTCATTGTATATCACTCCAGCACATCCTAGCTATATTAGTTTTACTGTGGGTTGAGAAAGAAAAATCCTAGGTCCTAAATATCATACCAGCCACAGGAAAACAGCATGGGCTTGGGAAAACAGAGTTAAGCTTGGCTCAGGTCCCGTTGCTTTCTGCTGTCAGGGGGCACGACGCAGTAGGGCGGTAGGGCTTCTTTGCCGTCAGCTCACTTAACTATAATTAGAACATTCAGATGTAGCCTTGGACATGGTGGCCCCAGCTTTGGCACCTCAGGGAGTAAGACAATTTTACACGGATAAGTTATTTTCAGAGGCCCTGAAAATGGCACATGATACAACGGTTTAGAATTGCACTTACGGTAGGAGTGCTGGTGTTCTACAGTTCCTACCTAGGGAAGGGCTGGGATCCATCATTTAATTACAGTGGAATGCAGAGTGCATTTGTAACTTCAGTACTCTAACATTTTCTAGGCAAAAATTATTTACCCTTGTTGGGACCTTTCAAAACAGCTCTGCAGAATCTTGCTGTGTGGGCGTCTAGGAGTCTCCTGGACACTCCACGTGACCATCTCCTGCTAAAATTCTAGAAGCAAGGCTAAAGGGAGGCCTCCTTGGTCCCTTTCCTTAGGTTTATACCCAAAATTGGGTCCTTGCATTTTTAAACCCTTTGCAGGTGAAAAGTCTAGATATGTAAGGATAAGAGGAAAAGGAACATGTGTCTCAAAGTGTGAAGCAAACATAACCTAAACCATGGATTCTAGAGGAAGTGCTTTAAGACAGTATAGTGCAAGCAGGGAAAGATCCTAATAGATAATTACTCCTGTTTCAGTATCAAGACATCCGTTGTCTTTTTCTTCATATTGTAAGCAGAAGTTCGGACTTCAGTTAATACAACTCATTCCTCCCTTCACAAAACTGATGATCTGCACCTCGCAAGAATGAAGAAGTTCAGCTTTGTTTGTTTTACATCCTGAATGCATAACAAGCTTTCAGGGAATGGTACTGCATGGTCTTTGGCATTGCACGTAGACACCACTTCTGCCACTTGAAACTTGTAGCAAATGTGTACATGCAAGTTGTTTTCCTTTTTCCTTTTAATTGGGGTAAGCGGGAAAGCTGTCTTGAATTAAGGATATTTAAAGGGACTTGTTTTGTGTATCTATACTAGAAACTTAGCCTGTGCTTGTCAACTGGCACTTTTAATAAGACTGATTAATAACGACACATAGCAAGTAGGTGAACACGCCCTTCCCAGGGTCTTCAAAAGTTTGTTCCTTTCCATAGGCCGTACGCTTGTTCCAGTATTTATAATGTTCAACTTACTTGGCATACTTTCCCCCACTTCCTTCAGGACAGATAGGAGTAAACTTTATGTCAGTCACTAGGAGGTCTTGATTATTCTAGACTCTACATTAACAGCATCTGAGAAGCTGTAGCTTTGCTGTATTCGAAAGGTTCTTGAACTCCAAAGAAGCTTTCCCCACTTCAAAGACTAGTTATTTGTTACAGTAAAACAAACTATGAAACTTTACTGGGAGTTCTAAAAGAAGACTTAAGAACAGAAATTCCATGTTTTTGGATGCTGAGTGATAACTTTATATAGAAATATAAAGGTCAAATGGAGTCATCATGAATTAATAATAAGGAGAGTGATACATCGCGGGAAGCTGGCTGGCTGGCTGTTTGAGGTTGGGCGTAATCAGTTTGGCCTCCTGCCGTATGAATTCAGCATTCATCTTGATACAGAATAGTAAAATGTGTAAGAAGTCAGACACAATTAGAAAAAAGTAGCAGACTTCATGAAGATGGTATGGAAAAGAGTCTTAACAATTTACCTCAAGAATTTTAAAAACCCTTCTCTATGTAAAAATAAACCAACTGGAAAAAGCTATAAGTGTAACAAAGAGTAATTACTTTCAATATTATGGTGAACTCCTACAAATCCTTAAGGGGAAAAATAATTTAAAAAGTAAGTAGACAGAAAGAATTAAGTTATGTACACACTCTACAAAAGATAAAATGCTATTACTTGAAGAGGTTTTAAAAAATCATCAATTTCTATTTCTGTTTACCAGTGAGGTAAGGCAGTGAGATCATTTTCACTTACAAATTTTCTTTTGTGCCATTTTTGTTTTGAATGCTACTGAGAGTTTGTAAAAGATACTTAAGCAGGAGCACTTGGGTGGCTCAATGGGTTAAGCCTCTGTCTTCGGCTCAGGTCGTGATCTCAGGGTCCCGGGATCGAGCCCCACATTGGGCTCTCTGCTCAGTGGTGAGCCTGCTTCCCCCTCTCTTTGCCTGCCTCTCTGCCTACTTGTGATCTCTCTCTCTCTCTCTCTCTCTCTCTGTCAAATAAATAAATAAAATCTTAAAAAAAAATAAGATACTTAAGCACACTGCTGGTAGGAATGTATCATGGGAAAGAACTATATTGTGCATCCCTTTAAAAAAACAACTTGGTAATTTGTACTCAGCACCTTAAGAATAGACCTATCCTTCAACAAAGTTCCACTTCCGAGCATCCATAGTAATAATTCTCCACACATAAAAATAGCCAAATGTCTGTGCCATTATAAGCAGCAAACAAAGAAGGAACATTTAAATATTTGACAATGGAAAAATAAGTCTGATAGGATAATGTGTTAGAGCAGAAGTCAGGAAACAGACGGCTAGTCCCATTTTTGTATAGCCTGTGAGCTAAAAATGGTTTTAAATTCAATCATTTAAAAATGGCTGGGGGCAAAACAAAACAAAAAACAAAAGAATATTGCATGACCCGTGTAAATTATACGAGTTATATTAAATTTACATTTCAGCATACTTTCCTTTATGTAATGTCTATACTATTCTCTCACGGAACATTGCAGAGTTCTACTGTTGCAACAGAAGCCCTATGGCCACAAAGCCTAAAATATTTAGTGTTTGGCCCTTTACAGAAAAAAGGTTTGATGACCCCTCTGTTAGAACACGGTGCAGCTGTGAAAAGTGTTCTTGAGGAGTTTGTAACAATGATCGAAGCTACGTGGTATAATGGTTAATAAAAATGCAGGATGTAAAGATAAGCATATATATCAAAAGGACATAAAAACATGAAAAAATTATATTGTTTTGGGTATTAAGACCAATGAGTGATGGTGTAATCCTTCCTGCCTTTTTTTTCCCCAGGTGTTCTACAATATTAAGACTTACTTTATAATGGTGAACAAAGCTATTTAAAAGGAAAAGCAAAGCAACATGTAGCTACTGAATTTTATGAAAGTCAGAAAATAACCTTAGAACTCACCTGTCAACACAACTTTTCCAGATACAAAGATAAGCAACACAATTCGTGGTTTCACCATTCTATAAATAAGGCCAGGAAACAATTCAGGTTCATAACTGTTCAGATATAAAAGGAAAAAGTTAAAAATAGTACTATTCAACTACTTTCCCAAAACATTCGAGACCCAGCATGTTAAAGCTATTCTACCAAAAACTTTTGGCCATCTTAGTAAAAATAGTCTGGAGTGCCCTATGCAGTTCCTTGTGACAAGAACAGAATTCATCTTTGATCATAACATTTTTTCAAGTGCTGGCCATGCTAAGCTATTAGAAATTAAGGGACTGTAGGGCATCAAATTTAATGTATTAAGATCCTGTTGGTTAAAAAAAAGTCTATCAATAATAATACATAAACACACTTTCTAAATTTCCTAAATTGTCTAAGTTTCCCAATAATGAGCATATTTTCTATATATTTATAAACTGCTAAAGATAACAATTTTAGAACCTATGAAGTTTTCCAGACCACCATCATTTTTCTCTGGACAAGTGCTGTAAAGAAAACTAAACTATCCCAACACTTAAAAATTTAGGATTTGTAGGGCGCCTGGCTGGCTCAGTTCGAAGGGCATGGGACTCTTGATCTCAGGGTCATGAGATCAAGCCCCATGTTGGGTATAGCGATTACTAAAAAAAAAGAGAAACTTAAATTTAGGATTTGGTCCTATAAATAGTAACTCACTCATATTTACTACTAAATGGAGGAGGAGGAGGATAGGACTAAGAATTGCTTTAGTCTCCCCCATAGAGAAGTAGAGAGACTTTTAGAAAGGCTTAAGGAGACTTCAAAAAAGAAGTCAAGAATTAAAAGGAGGCTGACAAAATAAATGCAATAGCTAAGAACAGATAGGAAAAAAAAGAAGAAATCTGAGAAATGAAACACAACACACATAAGTCTTTGCTTTTAATGGGTGAATCAGGACCACACAGAAAAACTCTCTCCGTTTCATTCTGCAATGAGTGAGACCCATACAACAGCAGATGTGATATCTCTTACTGGTACCAGAATGATGCATTACAGCGGGGAGGCTACCCTTCTGAAGCATATGGAGGTGGCTCTGAGTAGACTTGTCTTCCTGGGATGTCACTCTTACTACAGAAAGCCTGTCAAGACTTTACCCACTTATCACCACTCAACACGGGAGTCAATGATACTGGCTGGAGCCCTGGAAAATTTGTATGGGAGCGGAGGTTTGAACCAAGAAAGTGAAAGCTAGAGACACAGAAGGAATGCTTCCATTTGATCTTCCAACAGAATCTTAGCATTTTTAAGGGAAAAGAGGTGGGGGTGTGCCTTGTTGGCTCAGTTGGTTGAGAGTCTGACTCTTGGTTTCAGCTCAGATCATGATCTTGCAGTTGTAAGATCGAGCCCCACATTGGGCTCTACACTCAGCAAGGAATCTGCTTGGGATGCGCTCTCCCTCTCCCTCTGTCTCTTCCCCTGCTTGTGTTCGCTCTCTCTCCTCTCTCGAAAATAAACAAACAAATAAATAAATCTTTTAAAAGAAAAGGGAAAAGAGAAAATAAAGTCTTCGGTATGTAAGTGATGGCACTCTGCAGTTGGCTTTCATAACCATAGTTTTAATATACCAGCATAATAAACTTCCAAGGAGATACTTACTTCATTTTACTTATCCTCTGCCTCATTGCAAGAGAAAGTTGAGGCAGGGGGGAAAAAAGGAGATTTTGGAGAGGGATGGGGAATTTTGTAAGTTCAAGAATAACAAACATTTGCCAATCTCTTGCCAACCCAACTTCAACTCACCATTCAAGTCCTGGCTTAAATGTCACTTCCCATGAGAACGTCGACCCGCACACTCCCCTGACCCTGTTGTATTAAATATCCTATTTAATGGTACCATGGCACTGCAAGGGGTGCCCACCTTGGAGTTACTGTGTTATCTTTAGTTACCATATTGTCTTTAGCTTTTCGGTCTTCCCTTTTAGACAGTGAGCTCCATGAGGGCAAGGGAGAGTGGCTGTATTTTTTTTTCTTCTTTTTTCCTTTTCCCTTTTTGAGAGAAAGAGAGTGAACCAGCATGGGTTCAGGGCCTGGGAGGGCAGGGCTGAGGGTTGGGAGGGGGAGAGGGAGAGTAGGCTGCATGCTCAGCAGGGAGTCCTTTGCAGGGCTCAACCTCACAACCCTGAGACCATGACCTGAGCCGAAATCAAGAGACTGATGCTCAACTGACTGAGCCCCCAGGTGTCCTGGACCCTAGCTGTACTGACTATCACGGTCACTGTAGCATCTGCTCCATGGTAGTCACCTAGGTATTATTCACTTAAGAAATAGTTATTATCAGGATAGCTTGGATTTAGAAACTGAAGGAAGGGAGAGCAATGCTCAGGGAAAACTGGAAATAAATACTGTGTAGAAATACTGACATCCCCCAGTGACAAGGGGATACTTGTGGTATCAGATGCTAATACACAAACTTGTAGAACCAGGGGAATTAAAGGAACTTGAGGTTTTAACATAGGCTAACTTTTTTTTAAGATTGTGTTTATTTGAGAGAGAATGAGCAAGCATGAGCAGGGTAGAGTAGCAGAGAAAGAGGGAGAAACAGCCTCCCTGATGAGCAGGGAACCCAACATGGGGCTCGATCCCATGACCCTGAGATCATGACCTGAGTCAAAGGAAGATGCTTAACGGATGGAGTCACCCAGGCGCCCCTTGACATAGGCAAACTTGACCTAATAATTATAACTGATGTGTGACATGTTTCCCCACAGTGCTGCAGACACTTAAAGAGAGGCCCCATTTTTTTTTTTTAAGATTTTATCTTGCCAGAGAGAGAAAAAGTAAGCACAAGCTAGGGGAGTGGCAGGCAGGGGGAGAAGCAGACCCCCCACTAAGCAAGGGGCCCGATGTTGGACTCCATTCCAGGACCCAGGGAACATGACCTGAGCTGAAGGCAGACACTTAACCAACTGAGTCACCCAGGTGCCGCATGAGAGGCCTCACTTTAAAGACACAAACCTGTTGGGAGAGAAGTGTTTTAATGCCCAGTGTCATCAATACACACACTGGATCTGTAATCCATAACATAACAGTAGAGCCTGAATAGCAAACTTTTGGAGCAGGCAAAAGTAAGACTAGAAAGAGATAGTGGGAGGGATATGATGCAGGCTTTCTTGACAAATTTTTTGAAAAGATGGATGAGATAATAAAACTGTTCCAGAATGAAGACAGAACAGTGATGGACCCCTCCAAGTGGCTAAAGTCAGCTCATATGATGAACTCTCATCTTGCCCTGCTCTCCATTTTATCTCAGAATGTGGCAGTAGTGACAAGAGGCACTCCTGCTCTAGACTTAAACCCGAGCTACAAAGACGACAGTGTTGGAGAAAAAGAAATGAAAGGCAACTCGGGAGGAATGGCACAGATCATTTTAGAGCCCTTAGGAGCCAGAGAGTAGAGAGCTCAATCTGATAGAGACAGGCAGAGTTCAGGCAGTGATCTTTCATACATTCAGAAAAAGTGGGTTTGGAGAAGAGACAGACTGGAGGCCCACGGTTGAGAATCTGGAAGAAAAAATAGCTTTTGTGTTGAGATACTCTTAATAACAAGGGTTATGAATTTATAAACTGTCCCAAGATTGAAGAAAGAAAAAGATCCCTAAAGAGGCAATATTTCTTGCATGGGGAGCTTTGCAGTGAGCTCAACGGGCACCCAATAAGCACATATTGAAAAAAAAAATTCATGCAGGGAAGAAAAAAAATACAATCAAGGGGAAAATAAACATTGCCTGAAGAATATCACCAAAGCCAAATTTCAGCATGAACTTCGATTTTTTGAAAAACTAGGAAAAAAACAATGCAATTTTTAACAGCTGTTCAGACCATGTCATAAAAAGAAGGCCAACGAGTGTTAGAAAAAGCTCTGCCGCAGGACCCCTGCTCACTCTGTTCATAGGAATGACCACTCCAGGGCAAAGGGGAGGAAGAGGGGAGCAAAAGGACAGAAGTTGAGGCTAGAGAAGAGAACGTAAGACCGTCTGTGATTCTGAACAGCTCAGTGGCCTTGGACTGGTATATGTGCCCCAGGGTGGTGGGCCCCAGGGCTGTCCCATTTGCTTCTATCACTGCTGAGGGCCCAAAAGGCTGGGAGAAGCATCAAAGCAGCTGAGGGGAGATGATCCCGAGCCTCTGCTGGTGAGATGGGAGGTTACGTGGGAAGCAGCAGCCTACAGAGGCTCCCTGAGGAGCAGGAGTCCACTAAAGAAGAAACTGGAGGGGGGCTAGCAACACCAGACCCCTAGAAATCAACAGGACAGACACTAGATAGACTTGCCTTCACAGAATATGCTAGGCCACTCTTTCTTCATCCTCTCCAACCCTCTCCCCCATGCCAGCTGTCAGCCATCAGCCCCTTCAGACCTGCCTAACCCATCTCATACCCCTTCTCTTCTGGGGTCTCCACCCTGCCCCCAAGGCAGGTGTGCCTGTCTTGGAAATCTGCACAGTAGTGAGTCTCAAGCCTCTGGTGAGCAGGACTGACACCACCCGTGAGCTTGTTAAAACTGAAAATTCAAGGGGTGCCTGGGTGGCTCAGTGGGTTAAAGCCTCTGCCTCGTGGTCCCAGGGTCCTGGGATAGAGCCCCAAGACATTGGGCTCTCTGCTCAGTGGGGAGCCTGCTTCCCTTACTCTCTCTCTGCCTGCCTCTCTGCCTACTTGTGATCTCTGTCAAATAAATAAATAAAATCTTTAAAAGAAAAAAAAAAAGAACTGCAAATTCAAGCAACATCTAGGACGATGCAGCCCAGGTAACAAAGTGTTTTCAGAAAAGCGGGCCAAGTGATGACTGTGCAGTTTAATTTTGAGAACCATGTTTCAGAAGACTGGATACATGCAGTAACCAGGAAGGAGTTAAGCACAGCATGATAACCCTTTCACCTACAGTCTTGAAAAAGAAAAACACCATTTTCTTCAAAAGACACACTATATATGGGGCCCATAACACAACTGCAGTATCTTTGTAAACTCAGAAAGTTACAGAAAGGTCATACCTACTGAACTGCTGATGGGTTAACACCAGACCTTCCAGCCTGATGGCGAATCTCACATCACAGCTTCCAACCATGTTCTGAACTTTAAAATCGAGGAATCTGGCTGGGAACCCCAGCTTCTGCACCACACGAGCATACTTCCTCGCTGCAAGTCGAGACTGCTCTTCACTGGGGAGGGACAAGTGTGTTTAAAGAGATCTTCATCGTTCTGTCCTCTATACTGCTTGAGCTGTGTTCACACACTTCCCTGATTGTACTTTTAGCTTTTTTTAGTACTAGGTCTATCTTTCAGTATATACCACAAACCTGTAGATGCGGAGGACACAGCCCAGCCTCCCCTACTTGTGTCCCTAGCACCTAGCCAAAGGTATGGCACAATGGCCAAAGCCAAGCCATAAACACGTTTGCATCTTACTTTGACATCTCTCACATATAGAGTATTTTTCTCCTTTACTTGTTTTAAATGCAATTAGATAAAATTAACTATTCCCAAAGTGTGCAGCAGAGCAGCACCACCTGAGAACTTGCTAGAAATGCAAAGTCCCAGGTCCCAGCCACAGGCACTGGGGTTGGGGCCCAGCAATCTCTATTTTAACAAGCCCTCCAGATAAATAAGGACACATGCATTTTAAAAAAAAATCAACATAAGGAAATAAGAGGTATGCCAATTAGGTGGCAAAGACAGGATATTAGGACTTGAATCTTTATGCAAGAAACTACATTTTTTTTAAAGAAAAACATGAAAACATCTCAAAACCTGACCAGTTTTGCTCAGGCTTTCTCACAGAATGGTCACTCAACACACACCCAACATGAGAAAGAAAGTCATTCAATTTTGTGGCCGTACTCTTCTGAGCATTTGTCTTGCTCCAACCCTAAACCCAGGTCACAGAAGGTGAAGTTCTGTGATGTGAGGCTTTATTTGGCAAAACAAAACAATGAATGGCAAGGGATGAAAAACAAGGGCAAAACCTGGTGGGTGAGCCGTGTGAACTCTACCCTCTCTCATGGGTTGCCCCATCTTTACTTTGAAAACCAAAAACACCTGATTTTAATTAATGAATTAATTTATATTAATTCCTTCACATATTTCACTCCACTACATGTTGCTTTTCCTCACCCACTTCCAACTCCCGAGATGTCCCTCGCAAGGTCATGTCTACAAGTTAGCACCGAAATAAATGGTTTCTATTTTGAAAACATACAGTCTGCTAATTGGCCCATTACATTGCCCATCGCGCTCATGTTTATAAGGCCAAATTTTAAGAATTTGAGTGGCCCTGTAGTTTCGTGAGATATTAGCTGTGAATAGGACATTGAAATTCCCATGCAAACAGCTTGTGGTTAGAGTCTACATACATGTTCTTCTATGATCATTAGGAAATAAAGAACCTTGAATGTCACCACCAGTGGTGATAACCACAGATTACATTTGACCCTTTTGTACTCTTCCTGGGCAAAAATAGGTATCCTTCACTTGCAAACTTTGGTTATTACAGCTAAAAAGAATAGGTTTGTATCCTTTTTTGGAGAGAATTCTGACAGCTCATAGACTAACCAAAATTTCACAAATCTCTATCCAAGACTCAAGAACCAAATAGATTTGGCTAACAAGTATTTCTTATTACCTGAACTCAGTATCCAAACTTTCATCATCAGACTTTGGGAACCAAATAAATTCAGTTTGGGAATACTCATGAATATGTATGTAATATAAGCATATTTTAAAGTGAAAGTTGGATAATAGACTTATAATTTAGTTCCTATTCCTCTATAACTTAAAACAATGTTACCATCCTTCCAACTCAATGTGTGCTTTAATTGCTTAATATAATTTTATTTAATGATCTAATCAAAACTTTATTGCTCAGTATTTGTATCCCATGTTTTAATTTTTATCCCCCCCCGCAACATTTTACACAATGCTGAAATGAACATCCTTGCAGATACCTTGCAGGGTTGTCCAAAAAGGACTTAAAAATGGTAGATCTCTAGGTCCAAGGATGTCATATTAACATAAGAGAAAGCCCAGAAACTTATCCAAATACATGTAAAGAATTTAATATGTAAAAACAGGTGGTGGGGGGTAAAGGATTAAGAATGGACTCATAACATAAATGTACAAATCCTCCACAAAATATTAGCAAACCACATATAACAATACATTAAGAAGATCATTCACCATGATCAAGTAAGATTCATTATGGCGATGCAAGAAAGATTCAATATTCACAAATCAATCAACATGATATACCACATCAACAGAATAAAGGATAAAAAATCATTTGATCCTTTAACAGATGCTGACAAAAACATTTGACAAAATTCAGCATTCATTCGTAATTAAACTCTCAACTTGGCTTTAGTGGGAACATACCTCAACCTAATAAATTCCATATATATGAAAAACCTAACTATGGGGAGCCTGGGTGTCTTAGTCATTAAGTGGTTGCCTTCGGCTTGGGTCGTGATCCCAGAGTCCTGGGATCGAGACCCACAGGGGCTCCCTGCTCGATGGGAAGCCTGCCTCCCCCTCTCTCTGCTGCTCCCTTGCATGTGTTCCCTCTCTTGCTCTCTCTGTCAAATAAATAAATAAAATCTTAAAAAACAAAACAAAACAGCCTAACTAACAACATACTTAATGGTGAAAAACAGAGAGCTTTTCCTCTAAGATCAGGAATAAGACAAGGATGTCCACTGTCATTACTTTTATTCAATGTAATACTGGAAGTCCTAAACACAATAATCAGGCAAGAAATAAGAGGCATTCATCCTGGTAAAGAAGAGGTTAAACTGTCACTATGTGCAGATGACAGGATACTATATATAGAAAATCCTAAAGACTCCAACAAACAACTACTAGAAGTAGTCAATGAATTCAGTGAAGTTGCAGGACACAAAATACCCAGAAATTGGTAGCATATCTATATACACACACCAAAAAAAAGTAGTAAAAGGAGAAATTAAGGAAACAGTTTCACTTATAAATGCACCAAAAAGAATAAAATACATAGGAATAAACATAATCAAAAAGAGGTAAAAGACCTGTACTCTGAAAACTGCTAAACACTGATGAAAGAAACTGAAGACAACACAAGTGAAAAAAAAATTACATGCTCATGGATTGAAAGAATATTATTAAACTGTTCATATTACCCAAGCAATCTATAGATTCAATGCTGTCCTTATCAGAATACCAATAATGTTTTTCACAAAATTAAACTACTACTAAAATTTGCATGGAACCACAAAAGTCCCCAAATAGGCAAAGCACTCTTAAGAAAAACAAAGCTGAAGGTACCACACCAGATTTCAAGATATACCACAAAGCTGTAGTAATCAAAACACACAAACAGGCACAAAAACAGACCTACAGATTAATGGATGGAGAATCCAAAAATAAACCCATGAATATATGGCCAGTTAATCTATGACAAAGGAGACAAGAATATACAACAGGGAAAGGACAGTCTCTTCAATAAATGAGGCTGGGAAAACTGGACAGCTACATGTAAAAAAGTAAAACTGGACCACTTTTTAACACTTTTCAGAAAAATAAACTAAAAATGGATTAAAGACCTAAATTTAAAACCTGAAATCACAAAAAAATCCTAGAAGTGAATATAGGCAGTAATTTCTCCTACATCAATCACAGCAACGTTTTTCTAGATATATATCCAAAGGCAAGGGAAACAAAAGCAAAAATAAGCCATTGGGACTACATCAAAATAAAAAGCTTTTGCACAATAAGAAAACCATCAACACACCAAAAAGTAACCTATTGAATAAGAGAAGATATTTGCAAATGACATATCAGTTAAGGGTTAATATCCAAAATACATAAAGAACAGATACAACTCAACACCAAAAAACAATCCAATTAAAAAATGGGCCTAGGGCCTGAACAGACATTTTTCCAAAAAAAGCATACAAATGGCCAATAGACACATGAAAGGATCTCAACATCACTCATAATTAGGGAAATGTAAATCAAAACCACAATGAAATATCACCTATTAGAATGGCTAAAATTAAAAAGACAGTAATAACTGTTGGTAAGGATGCAGAGAAAAAGGAACCCTCGTACACTGTTGGTGGGAATGTAAATTGGTACAGCCACTGTGGAAAATAGTATAGAGGGCCCTTAAAAATTTAAAAAACAAAAATACCATTAAGTTCAATAATTCCACTATTGGGTATTTACTCAAAACAAAAACGCTAATTTGAAAAGATAAATGAGGTCTATATACACAATATATTATGCAGCCATATAAAAGGATGAGATTGTGCCGTTTGAGACAACATGAAGGGCCCTAGAAGGTATAAGGCTAAGTGAAAAAGTCAGACAGAGAGACAAATACCACATGATTTCACTCACATACAGAATCTTAAAACAACAACAGCAACAACAAAACACAAACAAAAAGCAGAAGCAGTCCTATACATACAGAGAACAAACTCATGGTTGCCAGAGGGGAGGGTTGGGGTTTGGGCAAAGTAAGTGAACTGGAGTGGGAGATACAGGTGGTTATGGAATGAAGAAGCCAGAGGAATAAAAGGCACAGGAACATAGTCAACGCCATTGTAATAGTGAGGACAGATGGTAGCTACACTACTAGGGAACCTAGCAAAATGTATAAACTTATTGAGTCACCTGAAACTAATGTAACATTGTGTGTCAACTATACTAAAAAACCATATATGGATTCTTCAATAAATGTATCCGGTCCCTTACTGGCCATTTGCAAAGAAAAATATATAGTGAAACAAAATTCCAGGCCAGCTCTGCCCAGTATGGTAGCCACTTGTAGCTATTTTTAAAAAAAAATTCTATTTATATATTTGAGAGAGAGGTAGATTGAGAGAGAGAGAACACAAGCAGGATGGGAGGAGCAGAGGGAAAGGGAGAAGCAGACTCCCTGCTGAGCAGGGAGCCCAGCCTGCAGGCTCACCCAGGAGGCCCCGCATGTAGCTATTTATATTTAAACTTAAATTAAGTAAAAAATTATGTTCCAGGGCCCCTGGGTGGCTCAGTCAGTTAAACATCTGCCTTCAGCTCAGGTCACGATCCTGGGGTCCTGGGATTGAGCCCCCGCATCAAACTCCCTGCTCAGTGGGGAGTCTGCTTTTCTCTCTCTCTCTCTCTCTCTCTCTCTGCCTCTCCCCCAGCTTGCTGTCAGAGAAAATCTTTAAAAAAAAAAAAAAGAATAAAACATGCAGTTCCTTTGTGTATTACCTATACTTTAGTTGTTCAACAGCCACATGTAACTGGTGGTTACCACACTAGAGAGCACAAATGGAAAACATTTCCATCACCTAGAGAAAGCTCTCAATGAATCAAAACATCAACATCATTTGCCAGAAAAATATACAGAGGTCAATATTTATATAATGTTGTGCATGCAGAATGCCTTCTTCCTAAGCATGAAGCCAACATCAAAACTCTAAAGAAAATGGGACTGTACACACACAAAAATGTTAATTGTATAAAAAAAATAATAAAACACCACTAACAGTAATTTGGGAAGTAATATTTATAGTACAAAATGGTGGGAATACCTACAAACAAAAAGCTAACAAAAGAGCAAGAACTCATAGATGATTGGGCAAAAGACATGGTAGGCCAAGGTAGGTTTACATGCTTATGCAATATTCGTCTCACTAGCAAATCAAAGACATGTAATTAACACTTTTTTTTTTTTTTTGCCAAACCATTTGGCAAACTTTAAAAAAAATGTTAACACCCAGTATTCTTGGGAGGAAATGAATCTCTGTATATCTGTAGAGTGAAGATAAATTCACACAGCCTTTCAGGAGGACAATTTACTACTCATCTTCTAACACTTGGAGGAACGAGCAGCGCTCCCACTGCAGTTTGATGGTGAAAGGCTCTGTATCAGCACAGGCCTTCCTCTGTGTGAGATCCAGGAAAAGGGAGCCTTTTCAGAGTTGTCTCCTGAGCTAATGCTCAAGATAATGGTCAAGGAGTACCTAATTTGCCTCCTTTAAGAAGTTCTATCCAATTACCTGCAATAAGGAAAATATACAATAACTATTTCTCCAGGCTTGTAACAGGTTTCATCACTATGGTAGTTTTTAAGTGCATCTTAAGATCAAGTTCTAACAGCCCACCTACGTCCCCTCGGTTTAATGGGGGAACTGCAAAATGGGACAGGAGTTGGTATTACACAACTGAATGTTTTTAACCCCAAATTTGGCATTTCATGCAACTCTTCGGCAAAGTATTTTGCTCCTCCTAGGTGTTCTGGAACATAATTCTATCCTTCCCTGTTTTATACACTGAATTATTTGTCTGAGAAGGTTTGGAGAGTGGTTCTGCATACCTTTTGGCTCCCGTGCAGACCATTTTCCCAGAGCTAAATATGAGGGCGGTTGTTCTGGGCTCTCGGATCCTCATTATGACAGCAGCAAACCTCTATACACAGAAGTCAAAAGGACAATTAGCCTCTGCTAGGACGTAACACTATTCCAGCTGAAGAGCTGAACTGGACATAAAAGAGTCTTGAATAAACGGAGATCGGATGGGAAAGTGAGACAATGGTCTCCCCGCGCTAAGGTAAACAGAAACAATCATGATTCTGAAATGTACTTAAAAAAAAAAAAAGGTAAGAATAATAATAAAGCTAAAATTTAAGTGCTTGTTCTATTTCAAGCCTGCTACCAAGAGCTTTACAGGTCTTGTCTCCTTTAGCTCAGGATAGAGCTCAACTGTGTCCATTTAGTGTACAGGGAAACGGAGTGGTTATTTAATTTTCCACATTACACAGGCAACGGTAAAGTTGAGACTGGAAGCCACGACTAATTAGATGCTGTGGTATTTTTTACTTGGAAATACTTCCTTTTTCTTTCAAAGACTATTTGGGAAGGGGAGAGTATAAAGTATGTTATAGTTTTGCCAAGACTCTAGAATGTACTAAAAAAGAAAAAAAAGCCAAACTACAGAACAGAATGTATATATTGAGAGGCATGCTGAAGATGAAGGACACGTTGATTTTAAGTTCTCAGTGTGGTGCCCCGCCCAGCAGCATGGGCAGGCCCTCTGGAAGGTGCTGAAGCAAGGGGCACCAGGGCTACTGGCTTGCCATGCTGATATGTCACCAAGGACTTGCTGCTCCTTTTGGTCCTACCCAGGCGGCTCCTTCTGTGTTCATCTTCCCCCAGCAAGCTGGGAAGGAAACCAGGGTGAGTATTCTGCACGACTGCAGCTTCCATGGGTTGGAGGGGGTCCACAGGACCAAGATGGGACTGGCAGTTTCAGATGTGAAATGTGGACAGTGAAAGAGCCCTGAGTCAGCACTGCACAGAGCTGATTAAATCTGGTGAATGTTTTCCAAGTGTTTAAGGTAATAATCTAACCCGGTATGCATTTTTTATTAAATTCTGAACGGAACTTAAGTGCCAAACCAGAATTTCTCTGGCTGTCAAGTTCAAGTTTGGATAGATCCTATATACAAAAACAAAATGAGGGAGAGCAGAAGATGATGGACAACAAAATATGCTTAAATATGCTGACTTAAAAGTGTGGGCAATCATGGCTGTGGCCATAAGCATCCTAGCTTATCACTGTGTTTCTGTACTCATCCTGGTCAAATATTTCCAGAAAAAGGAAATATTTGGCTAATATTCAAGTACATGTAAATTCAAAAATCAGCAAGAATACTCCCACAACAGCAAAAATGACTTAATCCATAAATAGCTGATGCTCACAAGGTCCTCTGTGTGCCTAGAAATACGACCTTTTTCATCTAAGGCCGTAAATCCTCCACCATCCGAGACAGTGAACTTTTCCCTAATAGGGACAAGGCCTTACTCGTCTTTGCATTCATAGGTACAGAGACCAGCCAATTACTAAATGTTGACTGAATGAACAAATCTACTTCTTCGGTTAATAGGCCATTAAAATTGGATGCTTAGCCTTGGCAGGACACAATAGAGTAAATTTTATTAGACTTTGAAAGAAATACCTGAATCTTAGATCGGAAAGTAGAAGCTTGAACTTCACACTTGGAACAATTTACCTTTCTCAAGTAAGGGAAATTATAAATGGAAAAATATGTGGCAGGCAGGTGGGACAGCATTTAGGAAAAAAACTATGAACTATGATGGCATTTTAAAGGTTAGCATTCCCATGGGCTGAAAGGGGTCACACTGAAAAATCTTTTTGAATGACAAGGGGAAAACCTTAACTTTTAGGAACTGCTCAATCACTGCTTTTATTCGGCATGGAGAATGAGGTAATTTTTTAGAACTTCAAAGCAGACAATGAGGCAATTAACCTCTTGAGTTGTCAAAAGCTTTGCCCTAACAAATTTTTTTTTTCTGTTTTAAAAACAAAAACAAAGGAATGAGTCAATAACACGATCGTATGAAGTAAATCTAAGTAGAAGCTAATTGTTGAAAGGAATACAGAGAAATCTCACCTTTGGGTTATATTCTGCATTTTTTGCGTGCAAAGCTATTTTCTTCAGATCCAATTTACAGGCCAGGTTTACAGTGGAAACTATATTCCTGATGAAATAAGTCATTTTAGGAAATTACATAAGCCATAACAAGTAAAAAAGAATTAAAATGTATTAACTTCCTCATTTTGTAGATTGTATATTAGCAACTTCCTAGGAGAATTAGTCTCAATGTGAATACACTGTAACGTGATAAACCCTAGTAAAATGTAAAGATTCTAAAGTGAAGCACTAAAAATAGCTTCTAAAATGTCATGATTAGCTGACGAAAAGCAAGTTTTAAATCTATTTCAAAACCAGGCCTCAAAACAGAAAGCATAATTCTAAATCAATTTGCAAATTGAATTCAATTTTACATCTTTATATTCTGTTTATCCAATCCCAACCACAATTCTCAGCAATTACAGTGTTATAACATAAACAATACAACCCTTCGAGAATATATAGACTAAGTCTTAAGTCTCTCTTAGGAGATCAAGAACTAATACTTCATTTTACAGATAACCAAACTGTGTAAAGCCACAATCCATTAAGAATGGACAAAAGAATAATTAAACCTGAAATGCTCTTCCCTACACGATTACTCTGAAATTAGTCATCATTACATTCGGAAACTAAAATGTGTACCTGGGAGCATCACCCATTAAAAACACACACATACAGGGGCACCTGGGTGGCTCAGTGGGTTAAGCCTCTGCCTTCAGCTCAGGTCATGATCCCAGGGTCCTGGGATCAAGCCCTGCATCGGGCTCTCTGCTCAGCAGGGAGCCTGCTTCTACCTCTCTCTCTATCTGCCTGCCTCTCTGCCTACTTGTGATCTCTGCCTGTCAAATAAATAAATAAAATCTTTAAAACACACACACACACACACACACACACACACACACACACACACGTAAACAACTTACTGTAGCTGAGGCACAATTCCAGAGCATTCTGAAACAGGGGTCATTGGTGTCATGGGCGTTATGGACACCAGAGGCATGGAGTTTGGTTTCTCAAGAGAAGGCTGGACTGAGTCAGCATCACCAGGGTACAGATGTGAGTGGGAATTCGATACATTGCTGCTGCTTATTAACCCCAGACCAGTGTCCTGTTCCCTGGGTAATGATAGCCTACTTGGCTGACTTTGAGTTTTACAATTTTCTTCAATTTCATGCTTGCTTCTAATGACAATCTGGTCTTTATTTTCTTGGGTAAGTTCATCTGGTAGGAAGCTAAGATCCACACATGAGAAATGGCCAGAGGTTTCTTGGACTTCTTCAAGATGTGAATTAAACACAGTCTCTGGATGGGATGAATTAGGGATGTCCACAACATCAGGTGTGACTGGGCTGAGCAGTGGCGACCTGGGCGCAGCGAGGTCATCCTAAGCCATTCCCAAAACAAAACGCAAGAAACAGAACACCAAGTCACACCAAAGGGATTGCTAGCCAGCAGGGTGTTCAAGAATGCAAGCAGTCCAAGACAGCTTATGTTCATTCCTTGCCTCTTTCCATAAAGTACCCCTAAAGTTATATTTCAGAGTTGCAGCATACTTAATAGAAACAGGAAAGTCGATCTTAAAATGCAGAGAAAGCATTTTTCAAAAAATGTTTTTCCTACATTAGATCCATAGTAAGTTGCCACTCTAATTTTGTAATAAAGGCAACTGAGCAACTACACTCTAAATTGTGTGAACTCTGGGTCCTCTTTCTGCCCTTTCTGTGCCACCAGAATGATGCAAATGAATGGCCGGGCAGGTGCTCTTAGAAGCATTAACAAGACTGAAAAGAGAAGCAAACAAAACCTGAAACAAGAAGGCCAGGTTCTTATTAAGCCCTGCTCCAAAGTCATCGTCTGGTGTCTGTGATGATAAAGCCTGGTTACATTGGCAAATTTGAAATCATTGATGATCACAGAACTGGGAAAATTACTGTGAACCTCCCAGGCAGGTTAAACAAGTGTGATCAGCCCCAGATGTGATGTACAACTCAAAGATTAAGAAAAATGGCAGAATAATCTGTTCCCGTCCTGCCATTGTATAGACAACCTCAACTGGCATCACGTATCATGAAGAACCAAGACAAAAACACACAGGAGGGAAAATCCTGGGATTCTTTTTCTATGGATATTATATATATATATATGCAAATAAAATGCCGCAATGGACAAAATAAAATTTTAAAAAATAGTGTGGACTTTGAATAGACTTATTGTCTCCTTGATTATGAACTTCAGTTAAGTATTTTTTAGTCTTTTTTTTTTTCTTTTAAAGATTTGAGAGAGTGAGCATGCACAAGCAGGGGGAGCGGCAGGCAGAGGGAGAAGCAGACTTCCTGCTGAGCAAGAGCCAGATATGGGACTGGATCCCAGGACCCTGGGATCATGACCTGAACTGAACGCAGACTCTCAACTGACTCAGCCACCCCAGCGTCCCAAATTAATTCTGAGTGGTTTATTTTCCCACCCTGTCTTTAAAAAAAAAAAAAAAAAAAAAAGCTTTTATTTATTTGAGAAAGAGAATGAGGGGGAGTGGGGTGGGCAGAGGGAGAGAAAGAAACAGGCTTCCCACTGAGCAGGGAGCCCAACCTGGGACTTGATCCCAGGACCCCAAGATCATGGCCTGAGTCAAAGGCAGACGCTTAACCGACTGAGCCACCCAGGCACGCCTGTTTCTTAGAGCCTTAAATTCATATTTTGTAAAGAAACAAGTGCCTTGAGTGCTAATCAGTACTCCACTGAAGACCCAAGTTTATTCCTTCTAGTCAAAGGAGATAGGAGCAAATATTCTAGATTCTTGAATCTGCAATAGGAAAACGGTCATTGAAATTTAAATGGCAAGAACGATTTTAAATCAATGTATTGTACTTTCAGTCTGGGGAAGGCTGTTCAGCCTCCATTACCATCAACTCAGGGAATGAGGTGTGCAACTGGGCAAAGCAGCTTCATGTCCAATTCACAGGCTTTCTTATTGGGGAAAAAAAAATCGATTACCTTGATACATATGTTACCACCTGCGTTGCCCAGGCAGTAGACCTAGATTCCAGATTTTGAGCGCTGCTAGCAGGATAACCTCATCCCTTAGAAAATCTGACTTCTGACAACTGGTTGTTTGTGAACACCTCACACTGGATCCTCATGACAAAACTACCTCAAGCGAATATAAAATGTCTGGCTAGATCCTACTGAATTGTTCTATTACTCCAAATCCAGCAGATGGCAGGGGTGACTAATTGTTCAAAGAAAACACTTCTCTAGAAGAAGGCAGCTATTCTCTTGAAAGAAGATTTTGGACAAGATTTTGGGCTGTATTTCGTTCTGAATTATGTAATTCTCCTCCACTTATCCCACTACACAGATCAGCTTTACGAAAAGTGAGGTGGGGAACACCCAGGATTCCTCTCCATTGTCCCACTGGCCTCTCCTATACTGGTGGAAAGAGTCTCACCAGCCAGTTCACAATATTTGCAACAATCCCTGTCTCCCCTCTTTCCCATCACAGCATTTGAGCAGGGAGGCCGCGCTCACCCAAGGAAACCCAATCTCCTCCAGGAATCTAAGGCAGTGGCAGCAAGATATGGGATGTTTTATAGCAAAAGCAGCTTGACAGCCTCCTTTTCAAGTTCACCGTAGGAAAACACCTAATAGGATGTAATTACAGCATATTCACTGCATCTTTGGCCGTCTATCTGCAGAAATGTTTCGTTAGACTGTTTTTGCAGAACCGTCAACTCATCTTTCCTGCGTGGGCTTTCATTTGCTATATTAAACGCAACGAGGCTTCGCTATTTCTACTTTGGTGCGAATCCTTGTCTTTTTAAAAATCCCACACACAGGACTCAGTGGGTTAAGCCTCTGCCTTCGGCTCAGGTCATGATCTCAGGGTCCACGGATTGAGCCCCACATCGGGCTCTCTGCTCAGCGGGGAGCCTGCTTCTCCCTCTCTCTCTCTCTGCCTGCCTCTCTGCCTACTTCTGATCTGTCAAATAAAATCTTAAAAAGAAAAAAAAATCCCCCACACAGAAGGCTGCACTTTTTCCTTTTTGAGGACTCCTTGCTCTCTACAATACTTGACTCTAAGGATTTTTTAAATTGGAAAAACAAACAACTTAAGAATCGTGAATTAAAAGAAGCCACAGGTGTCTCCAGTTCAAATTTTGCGACACTCCCGCCCCACCTGTCCCTAGAGACTTTTTTTTTTTTTTTTTTTTTTTTTTTTTTGCGGCCTGTTCTTGGAATGGGAGGCTGCCACGCCTTACCAGAGCTGCACGGGATAGTCCTCCTAGGTTTGCCATAGCAGAGCAGAGACATTTAGAACCAGTGGTCCCCACGGGAGACACAGAAGCGAACTCTCCGTGTCTGCGTCTTTATAACGGAGACTGGGCCTTCTAACTATGGCTCTGGAGTCACACCACACCAGGTTCCACTCCTGGCTGGCACCCGTGGCGAGTTATTTCCCCTCTCGAAGCTTCGAAGCTTCCATTTTTCAACTTAAAGACGAGGACCAACCAGCCCACCTCTGCGGTCGCTAGGAGTTCGGGGCCAGATAATGAAGGCAAAGCCCTTGCGCTCAGGTGTGGGCGCGCTCAGCCATCGGGTAGGGACGCGCTTTGGCCCCAGGACAGTGGCGACGGCTTTCGCGCTCACCTGGGCGACACACTCGTCCAGGTAGAGCTCCAGGTACGTCTGCTCCTCCTCCATGGGTGGAGGCCGCACCGTTAGAAAGGCTGAGAAGCGGAAAGTGCCCAGGCGAGTGGAGCTATGGCGGAGCCCGACCGAGCGCACCAGGAGCGCGGACCATTTATCAGCCCCGCGGGCGCACGCGGTGGGCGGGGCCGCAAAACTGAGCCCCCGCCCAAAGGCCTTTAGGAAGATGGAGAGAATGGGGAGCGTGCAAGGACAAGGGAGGGTAGCGGCCCCTCTCTAGGGTGCAATCACCGCACTCCGCCCACAGCTGAGCCCCAGCTTGGCCCGCAAATCTGGAGATTTCCTTCAGTCCCTGCAAGTGCTGCCATGGCCTCCAGGACATGGGTGTTAGCAGCATAAAAAGTGAACACGTGGGGCACCTGGGTGGCTCAGTGGGTTAAAGCCTCTGCCTTCTGCTCAGGTCATGATCCCAGGGTCCTGGGATTGAGTCCCGCATCGGGCTCTTTGCTCAGCGGGGATCCTGCTTCCCCCTCTGCCTCTCTGCCTACTTGTGATCTCTCTCTCTGTGTCAAATAAGTAAATAAAATCTTAAAAAAAAAAAAAAAGTGAACACGTGGGACGTGGCTCTCCTGAACAGAGCGAGGGGAATTTGAAACACCCTTACCCAGTCAAGTGTAGTACTTTTACGCTGTGATTGCTTCTCACCTTCAAATCCCAGGTGTTTCTTCTCCGCTCACAGAGAATTCAGTCTAAAACCACATAGAGTCTGAAACTAATATAACACTGTATGTTAACCGTACTGGAATTGAAATAAAAAAACGTAAAAAAATAAAGCGACACACAATGGAATGTGCCGCTGCAGTTTGAGGCAGCTAGCTCAAGCAGGTCCTACAAAAACCAAATGATCAGAGGTGCCTCTTTCTTGAAATCGTTGTTTTAATTTTCAGTGCCTCCGCTTTCCTGAGAACTTAAATGTGCAGATGGTTCTATACATAAAATTGACACTTTCTATGTAAGATATTTCAAAATGTACACGGAGACGCACATAAAATATGTCTTTCTTGTTAGACTATACTCTCTGAGAGCAGGAATTTTGATTACTCATCTTTGTGGCTCTGTACCAAGCTCAAAGATAATCCATCAAACTTCGCTGGTGAATGAAACTGCCCTCAAAATGGAGCATGGGGGGGCCCCTGCATGTCTCAGTGGGTTAAACAGTAGCCTTTCTCCCAGGTCAGGGTCCTGGCCTAGGGCTCCCCGCTCAGCAGGGAGTTGGCTTGTCCCTCTGCTCCTCCCTCTGCTCGTGTTTGTGTGCACGCTACTTTTCTGGCTCTTGCTCTCACTCTCTCTGTCTGAAATAAATAAAATCTTTTTTAAAATGGAGCATGGGAAACACATCATGGTAGAGACAGATGGCTCTCACAATCAGATCACAATAGAAATCTTACAGAATTTCTAATCAAGAACATAGGAAACACTTTGATAAAGCTGACTTTTATATAATGGTTTAAAATGACATGGAATTTTTGTTATAATTCTGCCCACAAAAAATGTTTAGCACAGTTCCTGCCTGGTCACTGAGGTACTAGCTCTTGGTTTTGTTATTAGACTCTTAGGTCTGAATTGTGTTCTCTCTCAAATCCATATGTCAAAGCTCTAATCCAATATGACTGGTGGCCTTCTAAGAATAGAGAGAGACATCAGACAGAGAGGCATGTGCACAGAGAAAAAGGCCATGCAAGGACACAGTGAGAAGGCCACTATCTACACACTGAGGAGAGAGGCCTCAGGAGACCAAACCTGCTGACACGTCAGTCTTGGGTGTTCAGCCTCCGGAACTGTGAGAAAATAAATTTCTGTTGTTTAAGCTACTCAGTGTGCTATTTTGCTGTGACAGCCCTAGTCAGCTAATGTGTAGAATCATAAAGTGTCTCATCATATGTAGTGGGCAGAGTTCTGAGATGGCTCCCCAAATTCCCACCTCTCTGATGCATGCACAGTTTCTCCCAGTTATTCAAACACTAATCTAGGTGCTACCATGAAGGGATTTTGCAGATCTAATTAAGTTCTGAAATCAACCAACTTCTAGAAAGGCAGATTATCCTGGGTGAGCCTGACCTAATCAGGTGAGATTTTAAAAGACATGAACCCAGTTCTTTTTCCTCATGTGGGAGATTCAAAGCATGAGAAGGAATTACAATGAAGGAGATTCTCCACTGCTGGCTCTGGAGATGACTGGAGCCATGCTGCAGTGAAAGTGGGTGACCTGTATTTGCTGACAGTGGCCCACAGTTGACAGCCAGCAAGGAAATGAAGACCTCCTCCTATAGCTTTAAGGAACTGAATTTGGCCAACAACAAAGAAAGAAATCCCTGAAAGGAACTCAACCTGTTCGATACCGTCATTTCAGCCTTGGAAGCCTTGGAAGCCCTGACCAAAGAACCCAGTCATGGCATGCCCGGACTTCTGACCCATACAACTGTGAACTTATAAATGGTGATGTTTCCAGCGAACAAACTTATGGTAATTTGTTACTCAGAAATAGAAAATGAAAAACAGAGAGAAATGGAAAAGGAATACATCATAAATTATAAGTAAGAAGTAGGGACACAGATTTGCAGTGATCTGCAGTGCAAATGGTAAAGCAAATGAATAAAATGTTAATAAGCAAATTTGGGTAAAGGGTTCATGAGGGTTCGTAGTACTACTTTTCTTTTTGTAACTTTCTCTAGGTTTGAAATTATTTCCAAATCATGTTTCAGAATAAAAGAGACATGACTGTTTGGGTGAATATTTTCAGTTGTTTTGTTGAGAGTTAACTTGTCCAAAATCTTCAACTGTTTTATTTATGAAAATCAAAGATTGATATGGTTTGACTGAATAATAATTAAATGCTCACATTCACTGAACTCTTACTATGTGCCAAGCACTCTTCTAAGTGTTTCAGACATGAACTCATTTAAACACCACAACAGCTCTTTTATTCCCATTTTACAGTAGAGAATACTGAGGCTCGGAGAGATTAGGAAACTTGTCCCAGGTAACACTGCCCCTATTCAGAGTATTTGACTCTTGAGCCACAGCTATGTATTGTCTCCCATCAAAGTCTATGTAGCCATTTCAAATTAGTAGTTTGTTTTTATTTGAACTGTGTTTGTTAATCAGTTTTTTTTTTTTTTTTTTAAAGATTTTTTTTTTTTTTTAAAGATTTTATTTATTTATTTGACAGAGAGAGATCACAAGTAGACAGAGAGGCAGGCAGAGAGAGAGAGGGAAGCAGGCTCCCTGCTGAGCAGAGAGCCCGATGCGGGACTCGATCCCAGGACCCTGAGATCATGACCTGAGCCGAAGGCAGCGGCTTAACCCACTGAGCCACCCAGGCGCCCTGTTAATCAGTTTTGATTCTGATTTTTTTCTTCAGATTTTTGTAATATTTTGTACTTTGGCAGAAAAAGAAGAAAAAGGAAAACAAAATAACCTTATCCAAAAACTTTAATCTATACTTTCTTAATTACTGTTGTGAAGATTAAATGGATTAAATGGGAGTATGGGTAAACTTTTAGGAACCATTTTGCACCTATAAAATATTGTTTTTAATGTTTTTAAGAGAATAATGTCAAGACTTAGATGGACCACACCAATAGTTATTATGAAAAGTGTTTAAGAGAGGTCAGCTCTTTGGAAAATAGGCCTTTACCTTTACCTCTTATTTTAATAGGCCCTGTCCCTCATCATAGAAAATATTAAAATAAAGCCATATCCCACATTAAATGTAATTTACAAATCACTAAGAGATGAATTCCTTGTGACCAGTTGATATGTCCCATTTTGCAGACATTTAATCAAATTTACTAATTCAGTTTTGGAATTTAAAAACATTTTGGAGGGCGCCTGGGTGGCTCAGTAGGTTAGGCCTCTGCCTTTGGCTCAAGTCATGATCTCAGGGTCCTCGGATCCAGTCCTGCATCAGGCACTCTGCTTGGCAGGGAGCCTGCTTCCTCCTCTCTCTCTGCCTGCCTCTCTGCCTACTTGTGATCTCTCTCTGTCAAATAAATAAATAAAATCTTTAAAAATAAAATAAAAACATTTTGGAGCCAACAAATTATCCTCAGCTCTCAAACAATCAAGAGTACTGGGCCTTAGCCTCTAAAATGCAATTGCCTGCGTGGGACCAGATAGTCAGTCTCAGGCAGGAAAAAAAAGAAGAGAGATGGAACTTCAGGGTTGAAGGAATATTGGAAACATGTTTCACTAGGGGGCGCTCTTTTCTCTTCATAAATATCTTCAGGTTTGGGGCATAAAGGACTTTCAGAGTGAGATTACAAAGGGATCCACTCATGCCCTAGATGTTAAAATAAAAAGTGGATATTTCTCTGTGGCAGAAGACCAGGGGGTGCTTCCAAAAGATAAGATTACTCACTGTACCATCAGTTCAAATACATTTGTACGTATTTATACAAAGAGATTCAATTTACAGTGGCTAAACCAACTGAAAGTGCTAGTAGAGTAATCCCCACCCCACCACCTTGATGGGGGTTCTATGTGAAGGGCAATTTGGCTGCCTAGGAAAAATCTGAAAAGCAAGCATTTTCATAAATGTGATTAGGTTTCTTGAGGCCATGTTAGGAGAGCACATTTTGAATCCGTGGCCATTTTGCTAGACGCAGCCTTCTTTTTGTCTTAGGAGCTGCGGACATTCATTGCGATTAATCTCTATATTGAGCTGCCAGTTTCCTGACAGGGATTTTTACACACAAGAATATGAAGGTGGGTTTGAGCAGTGCCTGAAGGTCTTTTCTAGATCAAAACTTAATGAATTGTTGTCCTCTCAGTAATCATGGGACATAGAAATATCCCACAATAACTCATCCTTACCCTTCTCGCTGGAGATGGAGCCTAAGCGTCAGCATCTGGGAAGGGGCCTGGGATGGCTCCATCAGGAAGGTGCTGAAGCATTGTCACGAGTGACCTTCTTAGTCACTGTAGCCGTGCCTCACCAACCTCGGTCCCCTGGAGATCTCAAATGGTAACCTCCCCGTGCTCCCTCCCCAGGGATGCTATTGCCGCCCTTCTATTAGGTGGGGCCCTGCACTGAATGTAAAGAAGACTCGAAGTATTTTCACTTTCCTAGGAACATGGTTCAATCTCACGTAAAATTAAAGCCAAGAATTAAAATTTCACAAACTCCCTTTTCTCTTTTGGATTAATCCCGATTATTTTCTTTCTGTGTGGACCTCTACCATCAGAGGGATTCTACAATAACGAACACATTATTTTTTAAAGCACGGTATAAATAGGAAGTGTTATTCATGAGCACAGCTTTGGCAGCCCTTACGTGAACATGGAACTGAGTATGGCAGTCCCAATTCTGAGCAGGAGAGAGGTGCTCAACTGGTTCTCAAACTGAATGCCTCCAGGGCAGCCTGGCCCCAGAGGACAGCTGCCTGCCCCCTGCCGTGCACGGCCGCTTAGGTTTTATAGCAAATTCTCAGCAAAGTAGACAAGGATTTCAGCTTCCTCTTCCCACTGAAGTGAACTTTGTACACACCTCCCTAAACTGGAATCTTTGTACCTGCCCACACTCGCTTTCTGTGTCATTAGAGTCAAGTTGGGAATGGTTCTCTGATGCCGTCTTCCCCACCCCGAGAATTAACATCTTAACATTGAACATCTTAATTCTGATAGACATTCTCGTGAAACTTGAAACACGTTTACATTTACCATGTAAAATCAAGGACAGTTCCCAGGTTGCAGCTGTTTGCCCACCTGTGAAGGGTCGGCCTCCATGTTTCTAACCTGGGAAATGCAAGAGGACTTAATTTCCACTCAGAACTTCGGTATCGAGTGGGCCTCTGTTTTGCGCTTGTGGGGAGAGAAAAACCTGCCTTTCCCGTTGTGCACATGTGTCTTCAGGGGCAGGCGAGTACGGTGTGTGAAGCCTGAATCTGAGACTTAGAACTCAGTTCCAGTCTTTGTGTAATCACGCCCAAGGCTTGTGACTTCAGGCAGGTTATTTAGTATCTGTAAGCCTTATGTTTCTCCCTTGTGAAATGGAACTGACCCTAGGGTCACGGTCAGGATTACATGAGATGATCAGTAGAGCACTGAGTACAGTGCCCGGTTGGTGGGGGGTGGGGTTGCTAGAACATTCTGCAGCGAGCGGGGAGTGCCTCGTAGTTCTCCTTCCTGATAGTGAAAATCTTCTGGAAACCTTCAGAGTATTCTAAAACAAAAGACAGAACCCTCCATCGAGAGCCTTTTAGAAGGCAACTTTACAGAGTAGCCCACGGGATTACGTGCGGACTTCATGCTGGGGGTAGAGAAGAACAGGCAGTACCAGTGAAAGCTTGCACAGCTCCTGAGAGGCCCTCAGGGGAAGCAACTTTGGGAGCGGGCTGGAGGCTGAAGTGAGTCAGCACACCCACCCAGTTCCTGAGGGAAGGCTCCCGGGGGCCACTGAGTCACTCTTCCCTTAAGCCAGGTGTCAGCCCCTCCCCCACCCCTTTTTTCTTTCTGTTTCAGAGTCAAGTTAATGCTAAGAGGTATAATGGAAATAATATAATATAATTACCATGATGACAAATCTGCAAACGATGTTGCTTATGAAAATGAACTCTCCTTTGGATACGCTGTACTTACTCAGAAGGGCCACTGAGGGGCAAATCTCCAAGTGGTGCTTCTTCTAAGTCAGAGGTAGGAACTGTTGACAGAAATGTCTTGGGAGTGACCAGAAGGGACTCTCCACCTTCACGGAAGATACCACTGCTGATAGGGGAATACTCAGGGGACTGGCTCCCTTCACAACATTTCTGGATGCATCTCTGAGTTACTATCTTACATCTTTTCTCTTTTTTTGAGATGTATTTATTTATTTGAGAGAGAGAGAGGACGTGAGTGGGAGGGGGAGCAGAGGGAGAGAGAGAATCCTCAAGCAGACTCCCCACTGAGTGCATGGAGCCAGCTCGGGGCTCCCTCCCAGGACTCTGAGATCATGACCTGAGCAGAAATCAAGAGCCCATTGCTCAACCAACTGAGCCACCCAGGCAGCCTGACTATTTTATTTCAAGAGAACTTATCTGTCATGCCCCCCATCCCAAAATGTTCACTTATCCATTACTGTGCACGAGATACTCCTTAGATCCCATCAAGGATACAGAGATGGTGGTCTTTAAGTAACTTACAGCATGGCAGGGAGGATGACAGCAACAACAGTAATAAGGACAGTGATAATAACCCCGCTTATTCATCACTTACCAATGACTTCCTCTGTCCAGGCACTCTTTAAGCTCCTTAAAACCTCTTTCTTTAGTGCTCATTATCACTTGGCATTAGGGAAATAACAGTCAAAACCACAGTGAGATACCACTTCACACCAGTCAGAATGGCTAAAATTAATGGCAGGAAACAAGAGGTGTTGGCAAGAATGCAGAGAAAGGGGAACCCTCCTACACTGTTGGTGGGAATGCAAGCTGGCACGGCCATTCTGGAAAACAGTATGGAGGTTCCTCAAAAAGTTGAAAACAGAGATATCCTATGACCCAGCAGTTGCACTATTGGGTATTTACTCCAAATTACTACAAAGGTAGTGATCCAAAGGGGCACGTGCACCCCAGTGTTTATAGGAGCAGTGTTCACAACAACCATACTGTGGAAAGAATCTAGATGTCCATTGACAGATGAATGGATAAAGAAGATGTGGTATAGATATACAAAGGAGTATTATGCAGTCATCAAAAAACCAAATCTTGCTATTTGCAACAACATGGATGGAACTAGAGGGTATTATGCTAAGCGAAATAAGTCAGAGAAGGAAATTATCATATGATTTCATTGATTTGAGGAATTTGGAAAACAAGATAGAGGATCATAAGGGAAGGGAGGGATAATTGAAACAAGACGAAACCAGAGAGGGAGACAAACCTTAAGAGACTCTTGGTCTCAGGAAACAAACTGAGGGTTGCTGGAGGGGAGGGGGGTGAGAGCGATGGGGTTGCTGGGTGATGGACATTGGGGAGGGTATGTGCTATGGTGAGGGCTGTGAATTGTGTAAGACTGATGAATCACAGACCTGTACCCCTGAAACAAATAATACATTATATGTTAATCAAAAAAATCTTTTTTTAAAAATCAAAACAAGGTTATAAGTAGATGTAATTATCATCTCAGTTTTAAAGATGAGGGAATGGAGGCCTGGGGAGTTAGGCAACTCAAAGATAAGCACTGCATGCAAACTCACAGTAACAACGAGCCGAATTCCGCTCTGTGTCCCGGCAGTTTATGAGGGAGAGATCGCTTCCTGTGGCGAGGCATCAGAGCCTACTGCGCAGAGGAGGCACGGATAGAGCAAAGTCTTTTTTTTTTTTTTTTAATTTATTTATTTGACAGAGAAAGATCACAAGTAGGCAGAGAGGCAGGCAGAGAGAGAGAGAGGAGGAAGCAGGCTCTCCGCTGAGCAGAGAGCCCGATGTGGAACACGATCCCAAGACCCTGAGATCACGACCTGAGCCGAAGGCAGTGGCTTAACCCACTGAGCCACCCAGGCGCCCCTAGAGCAAAGTCTTGAAGGGTGTAGGGGGCTGACCTGTGGCCCCTCCAAAAGACACACCCTCCCCAAACCCTTGAATGTGACCTTATTTGGAAAAAGGTTATTGCTGATGTAATTAAAGAAGTTGAAATGAGATCACCCCAGACTTAGGTTGGCCCTAAATTCAATGATAGGTGTCCTTATAAAAGAAACACAGAGGGAGATGTGAGGGGCACAGGCAACAGGAGAGGAGGCCCTGTGAAGACGGAGGCAGAGACTGACAGCCCAGGAAACATCAAGGATGTGGACAGACATCAAAAGCCAAGAGCAAGGCCCAGAACAGACTCTCCCTCGGAGCCTCCTGGAAGAACCAACCCTGCCAACACCTTCGTTTTTGGACTTGTGGCTTCCAGAGCTGTGTGAAAATAAATTTCTGTTGTTTTAAGCCACCCAGTCAGTGCTAATTTGTTCTGGCAGCCCCGGGAAGCGAGCACAAAGGGTCAGCGAGAATCGCCCGGAAACACTGGCTGGAGCAAAGGCACCGAAAAGGAAAAATACGGAGGTTTGAGTGTATCTATTTTGGTTTGCTTGAAGTATAAGGACCCTGAAAAGGAGCTGGATTTTTAAGATGAAGGTCACAGACTGGAGACTTTGAGTGTCAGGTCAGGAAATCTAGATTTTCCTTGATTAGCAAAGAGGGATGCAGTGAGCGATGTATATTTAGAAAATCAAGGTGCCCCAGAGCTGGCAGGAGGTAACACAGGGCTGATTTAGGTCAAGGGTTGTGGGAATGAAGAGAAGGGACAGTGGGAAAGGATCTTGTAGGGATCCAAGAGACTTAGCGATCCACAGATCCTCATCTGGCTCCTGCTAAGTAGCTTGATTCATGTCTTACCTGCCATGGTGTAGCCATTTTTGTCTTCTGGGATGCCTAAAACCCACACTTTAAAAGACTGTCCCAAGTCTTTTGGCTACCTGTCCAGTTGGTTTATTAACTTGTCCTGGCTTCTTGGCAGTAAGGCTGAGCTCTACATTGAGGACTTTCTTTTCCTGAATCTTAGAAGAATGTTTCTTTTACCTTCTCTGGCCCTGTTCTTCCTACATGAGCTACGCCTTTAGAAACTGTTTCAATACCCTTAGTCACCTCTTCTTGGCATCCATTCTGCCTGAGCTGAGGGCAGAAGGCAGGGTTGCAGGGGTGTGGGGCTACAGGGCTGGCCTCTCTCCAGCATCTTATTACAGATCCTGTCCTACCATTTGATGCTAAGTGTGATGGAGAGGCGGCATTGATCAGGCTGTGACATCTGGAACAGATACAAATCTTAGAGCCATGTCAGAAGTTTGACACTGCCAGTGCCCTGGAGACCTCTAATGGGGTCTGAACCTTGAAGCCTCATCAAGCATCATATTTCTTTTGTTGGTTTCCAAATCACACTGACTCTCTTTAGCTGGCTTTAGGATATGGAGCCAGTGGGAAGGAAAGAAGAGGAACGGTGCTCACGCAGGGCTTACTCATCCTGCGAGGCGCTTTGTCTGTGTTATCTCATTTCATCTTCATGTCAGAACCATGAGGCAGGTGCTGTCATCCTCTTTTTTTACAGATGAGGAAATTGAAGCTCAAAGCAATTAGGTCACGCACTGACTGGTGCTGCCAGGATTCAACGTTTGGGCTTTCCCAGATACCACACTGCTTCCTACATAGGAGATTAGTTTTGTCCATGCCCGTAGGATGGTATGATCAGTTTGTGGCATACGTACAGAATCTGCCTGATGCGTGCTGGGTTTTGACTTCAGGACATGATTCTGTACCATCATGTCTCCCCATGTCTCCACTGACCTAGCACTTCCAGGATACAGTTTCAAGAATGTTTGAGAACCTTCTAGGCTAATGAACTTGTGCTGTTTCCCAAAGGAACCGAAGTGTGGTTTTGCGTCAGGTTACAGTCTGCAGTTGTCTGGTTTCATCTCTAGGTTTGACTGTATTGGAAGGAATGAATGAAATGGTTCCTTTTATGTAGCCTCAATCTCTACATTGGTGTGGGCAAAGGACATGGCTTGGACGTGGGTTGTACCATCTGCAGTACCTGTTCCCATCCTCTAGTTTCCAAACCCAGGCCGATATCCTCAGGACTCCAAGCCCACCACCCTAACCACCTTTATTCATG